TTAAAATTTATTACAAATAAAACACTCTATAAAGCAACATTTTACTTTATTTTTCCTACAACATTTATTTAGCCTGTTTATAGAAAGTATTTGTAGTTGAAAATTATTAACCTTGATTTTAATTAAATTATAAACATTTTGTTCAATTTCAGTTTTTATTATTGTTATAACTTTATTTATAAACATTTTTATTATTACAAACATGAAAGAATGTGCAATATGTGTATCGAGGAGAAATAATTTCAAAATCCCTTTTTTTCGTGTTACAAGTTCTAATCTAAAATAAACAATTTAATGTTTAAACAATAGACAGAAAAAAATGAGGGTTTTTACGTGTTTAGCATTATAATTTAAAAAAAAGTTTAAAAAAAATCTATATAATTTAAATGAAATTATTTTAAAAAGTTAAACAAAAATATCTAAACCACGTTTAAACGTAACCTGCATAATATGTGTTTTTGAAAACAATGTTTTTGTTTCAACGTTTTAAACAATTACAAATAATGTCTTATCAAATTTGTTACTGTTTAAATTAAGTACTTTGTTCTTTACTCAGGTTAAAGAGAAAAGTCAGTCTGTAATTTTCAGTACAAACGGTAATTCATGTCTTACAGTAATTTATTTTAGAGATTTTGTATTCTTTACATTTTTTTCTTCAAATGAAGGGGGGTTATTAAACTCTCTAGAGTTTTTGTTTGGCTTAAAATTTGATTATATTTTTAGAGTTTTAATAATGTAGCAGTAACCAGCAACTTCTTTAACTTGTAGTTAATGTTTGTGTCAAGATTAAGATAAAAGAAAAAGTTTTTTTCGTATAGAATAGGTGTTTAAGTGGGTCATTTAAATTTAATGGTTAAAGAACATAATCCATCTAGTTGAGCTCCAAAAAATACTAAAATTTTAATGAATAACATAATAACTATAAAATTAAACTAATGAAAGTTTTAGGTTTAAATAAAAATTTATAAATAAATATTAATTTTGTGTTAATAATTATGAACATGTGTATCTAAAATTATGGAATTTTTCTTAATTGATTTTTTTTACAAAATGTAATTATTAGTCATAAAAATTATTAAATAAACATATAAATTAAATGATTATTACATTATCACTTCAAATGGAACTTGGTGGGAACTGGTACTGTAAGTTTTAGCTTGATAACCCCTCTTTTAGACAAAGTTCAAGTTCAGTTTTGTTATGATGTTAATGAAGAATTTTTTCTTAATTCTCGGAGACATTTTGAATAATTTAAAAATTTATAATGAAATAGAATTGTACTAGAGCTGAACTAAACTAATAGTGAGCTATAGCCGAAATAGAACTGAACTAGAACTAAAAAAAAACTGAACTAGAACTGAACTAGAACTGAACTAGAACCGAACTAGAACCGAACTAGAACTGAACTAGAACTGAACTAGAACTGAACTAGAACTGAACTAGAACTGAACTAGAACTGAACTAGAACTGAACTAGAACTGAACTAGAACTGAACTAGAACTGAACTAGAACCGAACTAGAACTGAACTAGAACTGAACTAGAACTGAACTAGAACTGAACTAGATCTGAACTAGATCTGAACTAGAACTGAACTAGAACTGTACTAGAACTGAACTAGAACTGAACTAGAACTGAACTGGAACTGAACTGGAACTGAACTAGAACTGAACTAGAACTGAACTAGAACTGAACTAGAACTGAACTAGAACTGAACTAGAACTGAACTAGATCTGAACTAGACTGAACTAGAACTGAACTAGAACTGAACTAGAACTGAACTAGAACTGAACTAGATCTGAACTAGATCTGAACTAGAACTGAACTAGAACTAGAACTGAACTAGAACTGAACTGGAACTGAACTAGAACTGAACTAGAACTGAACTAGAACTGAACTAGAACTGAACTAGAACTGAACTAGAACTGAACTAGAACTGAACTGGAACTGAACTGGAACTGAACTAGAACTGAACTAGAACTGAACTAGAACTGAAGTAGAACTGAACTAGAACTGAACTAAAACTGAACTAGAACTGAACTAGAACTGAACTAGAACTGAACTAGAACTGAACTAGAACTGAACTAGAAATGAACTAGAAATGAACTAGAACTGAACTAGAACTGAACTAGAACTGAACTAGAACTGAACTAGAACTGAACTAGAACTGAACTAGAACTGAACTAGAACTGAACTAGAACTGAACTAGAACTGAACTAGAACTGAACTAGAACTGAACTAGAACTGAACTAGAACTGAACTAGAACTGAACTAGAACTGAACTAGAACTGAACTAGAACTGAACTAGAACTGAACTAGAACTGAACTAGAACTGAACTAGAACTGAACTAGAACTGAACTGAACTAGAACTGAACTAGAACTGAACTAGAACTGAACTAGAACTGAACTAGAACTGAACTAGAACTGAACTAGAACTGAACTAGAACTGAACTAGAACTGAACTAGAACTGAACTAGAACTGAACTAGAACTGAACTAGAACTGAACTAGAACTGAACTAGAACTGAACTAGAACTGAACTAGAACTGAACTAGAACTGAACTAGAACTGAACTAGAACTGAACTAGAACTGAACTAGAACTGAACTAGAACTGAACTAGAACTGAACTAGAACTGAACTAGAACTGAACTAGAACTAGAACTGAACTAGAACTGAACTAGAACTGAACTAGAACTGAACTAGAACTGAACTAGAACTGAACTAGAACTGAACTAGAACTGAACTAGAACTGAACTAGAACTGAACTAGAACTGAACTAGAACTGAACTAGAACTGAACTAGAACTGAACTAGAACTGAACTAGAACTGAACTAGAACTGAACTAGAACTGAACTAGAACTGAACTGGAACTGAACTAGAACTGAACTAGAACTGAACTAGAACTGAACAAGAACAAAACTGAACTCTTTAATCGCTACCAAATCTTTATTATTTTATTTTCTAAAAACTTCATAATGATAACTGTCATTTATTTTGAAGGATATTTCATCATTCAAAACACATTTCTGTAATCTTGTCAATTATGCTTAAATCTTTTTTTATTTCAAAGCACTTGTATTTAAGTAAGCCTTAAATGTAAACTAGTAGTTAATTAAATTATCTAAATGAAAAAAAAAAAACTAAACCATAATATTATTTAAATTTAATTAGTTCTATGTATATAAACACTAGGTTATATTTCAAAATCCAAGCAGTCTACTTGACTCTATGCCTTATATAGTATATTTGTATAAAGAATAGATTATTTTATATAATATATTGTAATATTGAAAAAAAAAATTATAGAAAAAAATATCATTAAATTTCCTTCACAATGCACTTTTTTTGTATGATATTGTTTGTATTCAGTCTGTCTTTATCAATGTAAGCTTTTTTTCTTTTTTTGTTTTATATTTTAATCATATAATTTTTTTTATTTATTTTTTTGCCTTAATCATATATTGAGGGTATTGTGTTATAAATTATACAATTTAATTAATTATTAACTTCCTTAATGTTGCAAAAAACGAAAAAAAAAGAAAAACTGAAAATGTAATAAAACAAAGCCATTTCCAAAGAAAAATAAACAATTATCAATTAATTGTTGTTGCGAGTACTATCATAGTCATATTTCAATAAAAAAGCCCTGATTCTTTAAAAGAATAAATAAACAGATTAATAAGATTTATGATCTAAAAAAGGGACTGGAGAGTTTTTTGTTCAAACGGTTTTATTCTATAGATTTTCTATAGAAGACTAAGTATAAACTGTCTATAGACTGATCTTTCATCAGTAGATTGATCTATAGTCTTTCAACTTTAAACTGATCAATAGTCTCTCGACTATAGACTAATCTCCAGAATCTCGATTGATCTATAGTCTCTCAACTGTAGACTGATCTATAATCTCAAGACTGTAAACTGATCTTTAGTCTCTCAACTATAAACTGATCTATTATCCCACAAGTATAAACTGATCTATAGAGACTCGACCATAGACTGATCTATTGAATCTCCACTATAGACCGATCTTTAGACTATAGACTGATCTAAAGAAACTTGACTACATACGATCAGTCTAGAGTCTCTCGACAATTAATTGATCTATAGTCTCCCAATTATACTGATCTAAAGTAGGACATAGCTTAATCTATAGAATCTCGATTGATCCATAGTCTCTCAACTGTAAACTAATCTATAATCTCTCTACTATAAACTGATCTATAGTCTCTCAACTGTAAACTGATCTATAATCTCTCGTCGATCGACTTTCAACTACAGACTGATCTATAGACTCTCGACTATAGATTGATCTATAGACTCTTGACAATAGAGTGATCTATAGACTCTCGAGCATATGTAGGCTGATCTATAGAATCTCCATTATAGACAGATCTTTAGACAAAAAACAGATCTAAAGATACTTAACTATAGACGCTCAGTCTATAATCTCTCGACTATTAACTGCTCTATAAGCTCCCATATTATACTGATCTAAAGACGGACATAGACGTTTCTGTACACTCTCAACTATTGATTAGTATGTCGTCTCTCGTTTTTAGACTGATCAATGCTCTCCCGACTACAACATGCTTTTTTGACATTATATTGACCTCTAGACTCTTCGACATAGACAGTCTTATATTCTCTTGACTGTACCCTGATCAAAAGTCTCTATTTTAGTTCTCTTTCAAGAAATTTCTCAGGCAGTACACTGCAGTGATCTCAACAGTCTATGATAATCTTCCTTGACTTCTGTCATAATATACTAGAAAGAGAAGAACACCTGGTTTTTACCACTAATGATAAAACCAAAAAGAAAATACTTTGTCATAAAAAATATCCCCAGATTACTGCAACAATCTTATTTGCTTGCATTTACATATATCACCATATCTTTTCGCAAATTGTCAACACCCAGCAGGATGTCTTAGCATTTTTAAGTACTATTCCTTACTCTAAACAAATTAAAAACAAAACCTTCTTTTTACTTTCTTTTCAGGTAAAAAAAATTCCCTCTCAGCATGTCTTACTTTTACTTACAACTACATATTCGTTCTTCAAAAAGGTGAGTTGTTGTTATTAGTACGTGCACCTTTATTTATTTAAATGTCTGTTTAATTTTACAACAATTTACCCTTATGAACATACTTATTACCACCCCTATTAAAAAAAACATCCTGTGTTATAAACTAAATGTTAAATTTTATCTTTGAATGTTGTTATTTTGACACATTAATATATCCCTGTTTTTGATGATCAGCAAATATTGTAGTTAAGCGCGCTTGTTTTAAGGTGTAGGTCATTTAAAAGAGTGTAAACATTTTTGAGTGTTAAGACTAGTACCTGATTTTTCTGTAATTTCCTTTTAGTTAAAGCTATATAGTGGAGTTTAACTAATTAGAAAGTGTTAGAGAGAGGATTTATGTTTTTCGAAGAAAGATTAGGTCTAGTTTGACGTTGGTTTTATAAAATTAGTTGAATTTTTAGAACGATGCGAAATTTAAACCTTTGATCCATTTGATTATTCCATAGCCGAGACTATAGATTTTCTATAGTCTTGGCTACGGAATAGTCTAATGGATAGACTATAGACTTTTCTATAGTCGAAACTATAGACTTTTCTATAGTCGAGCGTATAGACTGTTCTATAGTCGAGACTATAGACTGTTCTATGGTCGGGACTATTGACTGCTTTATGGTCGAGACTATAGGCTGTTCTATAGTCGAGACTATAGACTGTTCTATATTCGAGACTATAGACTGTTCTATAGTCGATACTATAGACTGTTCTATAGTCAAGAATATAGACTGTTCTATAGTCGAGTCTATAGACTGTCCTATAGTCGAGGCTATATACTATTCTATAGATTGTTCTATATTAGAGACTATAGACTGTTCTATAGTCGAGACTATGGACTATTCTATGGCAGAGATTATAGACTTCTCTATAGTCGAGACTATAGACTATTCTATGGCAGAGACTATAGACTTTAGTCGATATTATAGACTGTTCTATAGTCGAGACTATAGGCCGTTCTATAGTCGAGACTATAGACTGTTCTATAGTCGAAACTATAGACTGTTCTATAGTCGAGGCTATAGACTATTCTATAGATTGTTCTATATTCGAGACTATAGACTGTTCTATAGTCGAGACTATGGACTATTCTATGGCAGAGACTATAGACTGTTCTATAGTCGAAACTATACACTGTTCTATAGTCGAGACTATAGACTGTTCAGTAGTCAGGACTATAGACTGTTCAGTAGTCGAGACTATAGACTGTTCTATAGTCTAGACTATAGACTGTTCAATAGTCTAGACTATAGAATGTTCAATAGTCGAGACTATAGACTGTTCAATAGTCGCGACTATAGACTATCCTATAGTCGAGGCTATAGACTATTCTATAGACTGTTCTATAGTCGAGACTATAGACTGTTCTATAGTCTAGACTATAGACTATTCTATGGCAGAGACTATAGCCTTCTCTACAGTCGATATTATAGACTGTTCTCTATAGTTGAGACTATAGACTGTTCTATAGTCGAGACTATGGACTATTCTATGGCAGAGACTATAGTCTATTCTATAGTCGAGATTATAGACTGTTCTATAGTTGAGACTATTGACTGTTCTATAGTCGATATTGTAGACTTTTCTATAGTCGAGATTATAGACTGTTCTATAGTTGAGATTATAGACTGTTCTATAGTCGAGACTGTAGACTGTTCTATAGTCAAGACTATAGACTATTCTATAGTCGAGACTATAGACTGTTCTATAGTCGAGACTATAGACTATTCTATAGTCTTGATTGTAGACTATTCTATAGTCTTGACTGTTCTATAGTCGAGACTATAGACTGTTCTATAGTCGATACTATAGCCTGTTCTATAGAAGTATAGTCTCGACTATATATAGTCGACACTATAGACTGCCCTATAGTCGAGACTATAGACTGTTCTATAGTCGAGACTATATATTATTCTATAGTCTTGTCTATAGACTTGATTATAGAATGTTCGTTCTATAGTCTTTACTATAGACTATTCTATAGTCTTGACTACAGACTATTCGATAGTCTTGTCTACAGACTATTTGATAGTCTTGTCTATAGAATATTCGATTCTATAGTCAAGACTAAAGAATAGTCTATAGTCAAGACTATAGACAATTCTATAGTCGACACTATAGACAATTCTATAGTCGACACTATAGACTATTCTATAGTCGACACTATAGACTATTCTATAGTCGACACTATAGACTATTCTATAGTCGAGACTATAGACTATTCTATAGTCGAGACTATAGACTATTCTATAGTCGAGACTATAGACTATTCTATAGTCGAGACTATAGACTATTCTATAGTCGAGACTATAGACTATTCTATAGTCGAGACTATAGACTATTCTATAGTCGAGACTATAGACTATTCTATAGTCGAGACTATAGACTATTCTTTAGCCTCGATTATAGACTATTCCATAGTTTTGACCATACACTCTGCTATAGTCCTGAAACTATAGAGGCCTGTAGTTTCTTGACTTTCATCTATTCTATTATGGCTATTAACTAAAATATTTGCCATTAAGCAAAACTTTTTCTAATAAATAAAACTAATTTAATTTGACATAGTTTTTTTTTGCACTATAATTCCCAAGAATTTTTTGTTGCAGCCCTATTTGGTGGTGGTGGCACTACAAATTCTAGTGAATCAATTTTGTACCTTTTTAAACGCTAAATGGACTTTTTCTCATTACGAAAAGTCTATTTTATTTGCTATCATTAGTAACTTGAGCGGTTTAGTTTGTTGTCATTAAATGATAACATGTGAAAATTATAGATTAATCAGGTGGTTGTTGTTGTAGTTTTCTATTTACCTTCTGATACGAAATTTCCCACCGAACACCATTTTTAATTGATGTACGGTATCCACAATAGAGTAATCCAACTTGACAGAAAAAAAACGCGTACAAATACACACTGCAGCTACTTTTGCTCTCAGTGTTTTTTTTTTGGTTGGTAGTTTTTGTTGTTTTAGTTTGATTTTTCACTTAGTAATAACAACAATTGTTGTTGTTGTTGTGTTTTTTTTGCTTAAGTAGTTAACTGCTAACAACAAACATTAAGAAAAACTAGTTTTGTAAACGTTTAAAGAAATCAACAACAATTTCACTTTAATCTTAAAGAAAACATAACGAACATTGCTCTTTTTGTTGTTGTTGCTATTGTATTAAGGTTTTGTTGTTATTGTTATAAAGATGCTGCTGCTTCTTGTTTTAAAATGCAATTTAAGTTGTCAACTTAGTTTTCTGCTGTTATTGTTATTTATGATGATTTTCTTAACTTTTTCTTTACAAAAAAATTTCCGCGTTTTTTTTTCTCTTTGTTTAAAAATTTATTTTTTCATTGCAGTTGTTGTTGTTGTTTTATATTAAAAACAAACCGGGTTTGACCTAATTATGGTTTAAACTATTAAATATTGTTAAAATAATTAAAGACATTTTATGGCTAATAAAAAATTTTTATTAGTAATGATTATTTTGTTTGTTTTCGTGATTTTGTTTTTGTTTAATTGACAACTCTGGGGTTTTTTTTGTCGCTTAATTTCAACTTAACACGCAAAATTGTTTAATCCACTTTAAAAGGTTTTATTTAAATTTGGTTTTTGTTATTATATTGTTGCTAAGGTTTCTTTTAAAATTGCAACAACACAAATTTCACAATTGTTTTAAAAGCAAAATTAACACTTTTTTTTGGTTAAATTGTAAAGAAAGTTTAATATTTTTTTTTTTTAAATTTTCTTTTTTTTTGTTTTTTCTTTGGAAATTTTTTCTTTTCTTTGTTTTTGTTTTTTTGGAAATTATTTTCTTTTTTTTACCAAAAACTACTTTTTTACTTTCTGTTTTGTTTTTTATTATTAAAAGTAAATTTAATTTAAAAATTATTATAATCCACAAAGCCAAAGTATAATGAAATTTTTTGTTGTTTTCTTTGTTTGTTTTTAAATTGTAAACACGGCGCTTCTATTTGCATCAAGCGTCTTAACCGTTCGTTAGTTATTACTCGTATGAAAACCAGTTGTTCGTCAAAGAAATCCATATGCCCCGTTTGTTGGCTATGGGACTTTAGCATATGGTTGTTGTTGTTGTTGCTATTGCTGCTATATAGTAAGAGCAGTGGTAGTTTTTGTGTTTTTCAAAATATTATAAACATTTTTATTGTTTACATTAAGTAAATATAAACCTAAAGCAGCCACAAATTGAGAGAGAGAGTGCTCTAATCCAAAAAAAAAACTCTCTTTTTTCTCTTATATTTTTAAACATAGATACTTTGTTTCAACTTCAAAGATTGTTTTAATAAAAGTGTAAATGTATCCGTTAGTTATCCCATCTAGTATACATTATTAGTTATTGGGGTAATTGTCTTAGCTAGTGTTCGTTTTTAAAAGGTTATTGTCTTAACTAAAAAGGTTGGCAAAGCCAAACATAACATTATTGCTTTATTAATGAAGATAAACTTTATCTTTTAGCTATTTAAAAGATAATTTTGTTTAAGCCTAATGATAGGCAACAGTGTTTTATAATTTTGTTTAGGTTTTTTCGGGCGAACAAATTTAGCTTTAAAATTTAATTAAAATTTTTAATTTTTAAAGAAAATTTAATTCATGTTAAAGCTCTTCTGGGAAAATGTAAAGTTTTTTTTTTACAATTTTCAAAAAGTAGTAGATCTACTACTATTTAAAAATAACCCTAAAATAAGTAAATTTCTATTAACGTGTCAAAAATTTGCTCCCTGTTAAGGATTTTCTCTTAAAATATTAATTTTTGCATACTTTGTAAAAAGTAGTAGAAATACTACTATTTTAAGATATCACAAAAATGGTTAAAATGAACAAATTTATACATTTTTGGGCACAACTTATGGTTTTTTCCCTAAAATAAGCAGTTTTGAACCATTTTCAAAAAGTAGTAGATCTACTACTATATGCAAATATCACTAAAATAAGTAAATTTCTATTAAAGCATCAAAAATTCACTTCCTGTTAAAGATTTTCTCTTAAAATATAAATTTTTGCACATTTTGTAAAAAGTTGTAGAAATACTACTATTTTTAAATATCACAAAAATGAATAAAATTAACTAATTTATACATTTTTGGGCACATCTTATGTTTTTTCTTCCTAAAATAAGCTGTTTTGAATAATTTTCCAAAAGTAGTAGATCTACTACTATTTGCAAATAACACTAAAATAAGTAAATTTCTATTAGAGCGTAAAAAACAGCTTCCTCTTAAAGATTTTCTCTTAATATATAAATTTTTGCACACTTTGTAAAAAGTAGTAGAAATACTACTATTTTTAAATATCACAAAAATTTATAAAATTAACTAATTTATACATATTTGTGCATGTTTTATGGTTTTTTTCCTAAAATAAGCAGTTTTGAAACATTTTAAAAAAAGTAGAGATCTACTACTATTTGCACATATCACTAAAATAAGTAAATTTCTATTTTAAGTGTTAAAA